CGCTTAAGTGTTTTATGTATGTTAATGCATTAAAACTACATGGTAGGGCTGGGCGTGGTGGCTCCTGCCTGTAATCACAGCACTTTGGGAGGTCGAGGCAAATGGATCACAAGGTCAAGAGATCAAGATCGTCCTGGCTGACATAGTGAAACCCTGTCTCTACTAAAAATAAAAGATTAGCCGGGCATGTTGGTGGATGCCTGTAGTCCCAGCTACTTGGAAGGCTGAGGCAGGAGAATTGCTTGAACCTGGGAGGCGGAGGTTGTGGTGAGTTGAGATTTCGCCACTGCACACCAGCCTGATGACAGAGCAAGACTCCATCTCAAAAAAAACAAAACTACATGGCAATCATCAAAGCCATGCTGAGGTAGGCATCTTTGTTATCCCCACTTTACAGAGAGACAAAGTGAGGCACAGGGAGGTTAGCAGAGCCAGAAAGCAGCAGAGCAGGGACTGCAGTCCACGGAGTCTGGACTTCATGCCCTTGACCATTTCAGCATCTGTCTAAGAAAGGGCCCTGGAGGTGGGAGAGGCCATACGCTTCTCCTCTAGAGCCAGGAGGGTGCTCGATGTCAATGTCGACTTGGTTTTCAGCATCAGCAGAACCTAAAGCTTCTACCGGGGTTATCTTGGGGAACTCAGGCATCCAAACCCTACCCACACCCAGATGCAAGGGTACTAAGCCCCGGCCCTGGCAGCAGAAACCAGGAGGAGTGTATCCTCAGAACTGGGGATGGACCACCTGAGGGCTCTTTCCCTTTGTCCCCTCTGCCAGCCCCACCCAGCCCCTGACCCAGCTGCCAAGACCCTGCCTCCCTCCCCACTGCACCTGGCTGCCCTTGGCAGGCAGCCCCAGAGCCCTCACAGAGGATGAGCCTCCCAACCCTGAGCAGCTGCCAGGCCTTGCTGGCGCCCGGCAGGCATCTTCTGGGCACCACGTGCCGCCCCGCCAGGCCTGGTGTGCCAGCAGTTCCGCGTTAGGTTGAGGGCCCCGCACAGCCCATGGAGCTGCTATTTTTAATTTAATTGGAGAGTCAGAGGAGAGAGATGGTACCCAACCAGGGAGTTTTAAAAGCTTTGGGGTGGGGGAGGGGGGAGAGAAAGTGAAGAAAAGTTCATAATTATACACCAGGCAGCCAGATTTGATGCTTGAACAGAAAGGTTAAATGTTACATTCAGAATGAAATGAGGAAAAGGGTTCTGATGACAGTTGCCCAGAGCTAAATAAGGAAAGAACTTGCCCCTTGCCTGTCTCCTCTCCAGGCCCTACTTTTCCTTGTCCTCATTTGTAAGTTTCCCTACTTCTGCCTTTTAAGGCTCAGGTGTGTACAAATAAAGGGGTTTCAAACGTAAAGACTGCTGCCCAGGGTGCCCACACCTCGACGGCTACCCAAAAGCAGCTTTCACACAAGCCTGGAAAAATCACACATCTGCATCTCAAGCCAAGGGACTCATTAAGGTCCAGAAAGCTGAGAAGGCAGCCTGGTACTGTCAGTGATAACAAAGGCTTTAGCATGGACAGACCTAGATTCAAAGCCCTCCTCTGCCAAGGGACAGACACTGTGAATCAGCTCACTCAGTACCTGCGCACCACTTCTTTTTTTTTTTTTTCTAAATGGAGTCTCACTCTGTTGCTAAGGCTGGAGTGTAGTGGCACGATCTCGGCTCACTGCAACCTCTGCCACCCGGGTTCAAGCAATTCTCCTGCCTCAGCCGCCCAAGTATCTGGGATCACAGGCACCTGCCACCACGCCCGGCTTATTTTTGTATTTTTAGTAGAGACAGGCTTTCACTATCTTGGCCAGGCTGGTCTTGAACTTCTGACCTCGTGATCCACCTGCATTGGCCTCCCAAAGTGCTGGGATTACAGGCTTGAGCCACCGCGCCCGGCCCAGGGTGACAACTTTCTAATAGCTGGTGATAGACCCAGATGAGATACTCCCTTCACGCTCCCTTTTCCTGCAGAGAATATGGAGGCGATACCTGGAGCTGCCAAAGCCATTTTATGACCACAACCCAATAAGCCTACACACTGAAGGTGGAGAAATGGAAACACAGAGACAGACCCTGGTGGTGTAGATTTGACACTGTTCCCCTGGAGTGTCTATTTGTTACCTGAGACAAATAAATCTGTTTCAGCCACTTTTAGTCTAGTGTTCTAGGAATGCCGAATCTATCCCTAACTGACAGATCACGATAAGCTTAAACTTGAACAAGGGCTTAACATCTCTAATCTTCGGTTTTCTTATTTGTAAGTGGGAACAAGTATCACTCATTTCACAGTGTATGCATGAGGATTAAATGTGACTCCGGCTGAGCATGGTGGCTCGCACCTGTAATCCCAGCACTCTGGGAGGCCGGGGAAGGCAGATCACAAGGTCAGGAGTTCAAAGCCAGCCTGACCAACATGGTGAAACCCCGTTTCTACTAACAATACAAAAATTAGCAGGGCATAGTGGTGCATACCTGTCATCCGAGCTACTCGGGAGGCTGAGACAGGAGAATTGCTTGAACCCAGGAGGCAGAGGTTGTTGCAGTGAGCCAAGATTGCACTGCTGCACTCCAGCCTGCGTGACAGAATGAGACTCCATCTCAAAAAAAAAAAAAAGCGACTCGATTTGTAAAGACCTCACCACGGCAAGTGATGGTAGCTGCCATGTTATTAACACTCCTGTTTAATAGGCAAGTGACGTCAAATTATAAACTTGGAAGTCATTTCTCATACCTCAGTAGCAGGTCATAGCTTCAAAGTAAATTCTCATCCCTTATCTTAGCTCATCTTCGACCCCGAATCTCTGGAGAAGGTGGTTATTGCTTCCTGTTTTATACTTGATAGACTCAAAGAGGTTAAATAACTTGCCCATGGTAGCCCAGCTAGTGACACAGCCAGCCTGAAACTCAATCTGATGCCAAGTCTTGGGCTTGCATCAGGCTGGTTCTGAGTTGGTCTACCTAAGAATTGCTATCCCAGGCCCCTATTCTTTTCCCTGCGGACTGATGACGGTTCAAGTGTGGGGAAGCAAAGATGTCACTATGAGAACATGGCTCATGTGTTCAAAGACAAAGTCAGCTGGACTCTGCCCTCCAAATTCCTCCACTTACCTTGAGACATCTGAGTTCCTTGAGCTTCAGTCTTCCAAACTACACTTGTTACTCTATTCCAGCTCTTAACATTAACGAGCCAAGCACCCCTTTCAGAAACAGCTGGATAACACTGTGGCTGACAGCCCAGGCTGGATTCGAACCCCAGTTCTGGCGCTTAACAGAAAACACATTTTGTTAAATAAATAGTACATTGTGGCTCCTTTCTCTGTATTAGTCAGAGTAAGCAAAACAGTTGCTGTAACAAACAGCCCTACACTCTCAGTGGCTGAACATAGATTCCTCATGCCACAGGCTAGCGTTGGTGGGGTTGGGCAGGCGTTTCTGCCCCACCCGGGCACTCAGACTCCTTCCATCTGCAGCTCTGCCACCCCCTAAGGCTTACATGTCCTCCCTATGTGACCCATCCCGCAGGCTGTGAAGGGGTATTTTAAAGGTCAGGTGCATGCCGAATGGGCCAGAACTCAGCCACCTGGCCCTACGTAACTGCTGGGGACGTGGAAGCACTGCCTCATGGTGTACCATGGAAGGAGAGGATACGGTTACTGATGGTCCCTAGCAACCTCAGCTCAGTCCACTCCTTTGAAAGTGGCCATCCCTCCACCTCCAGATCACATGACCTTGTCATATTGGATTCATTTCATTCTTCATCGTCAGAAATATGTTTGCTTTTTTATTTCTTTTTTTGAGATGGAGTCTTGTTCTGACACCACGCTGGAGTGCAGTGGCGTGATCTCAGCTCACTGCAACCTCCGCCTCCTAGGTTCAAGCGATTCTCCTGTCTCAGCCTCCCGAGTGGCTGGGACTACAGGCGTGCACCACCACGCCCAGCTAATTTTTTATATTTTTAGTAAAGACAGGGTTTCACCATGTTGGCCAGGATGGTCTCGATCTCTTGACCTTGTGATCTGCCCACCTTGGCCTCCCAAAGTGCTGGGATTACAGGCGTGAGCCACGGCACCCAGCCCAAGAAATATATTGACTTCTATACTGTCTACCACAGATCTCACAGGAAGCTGTAAGCTTGAAACCAGAAACCTTGTACATCTTTCTCACCTCAAGCCCCCAGTGTCCAGCACAGCTCCTAAAACATGGTGTAGGTACCTGAATATTTGTCAGATCTGTACTAAACGAATAAGAAGACAAACTTTAAACAGAATATTGGAACGCCAGGGATGGATGGATAGAATGTGGCAATGGAAGAACAGGGGGTCCAGACCCTTGCCTATCCCACTCAGTGGCAGCCACTGTTCACGGGCCCCAGACACCTCAGAGCCCACCTGGCTGCCACCTGGCTCTCTCGCACTTACACTCACTGAGTCTCCCCAAGGGGCCGCCCCCCTCCAACCCCCATCCATCACAGGAACCAGCACTATTTCCAAACAAGCTGTTTATTTGCAGATATAAAACAAGATCCAACGAGTGGATCCAAAAGTGGAGGAAGACAGACAGGAAGACAGGCGGCGAGGACATCCCAGGCTCAGCTGCAGCAGGGCCTCCAGGGCCAGAAAGGGTCTGCGGGACCAGAAATGTCAACTCTCCCCCATCCCCTAGTCAAAAATAATTGGGACTCCTAGCAGAAGGGTTATCCCACTTAAAACCAACTCAACTAAGAAGAATGAGACAGACCAAGGGGGATATCAACGAAAAACCCGTGGCTCTCAGACATGGAGACAGCAGCCAGCCACTCCTACTCCAGTGGCAGGCCACCCTGGAAAAACTGTCCCCTGTAGGGTTGCCAAGGATGACATCTTATCTTCCTCCTTGGGTGGGTCCCATTCTTGCAACAAGATAAAACCTTAAAACCTAAAAAATACCCTCATGCCCCCAGAATTCCAAAGCCAGGTAACCCCACCCCATCTCACTCTACCCCTGCCCAGAACATTTTTGCTGAAATTAATCTACTCGTGCCCATCTAACAGGGGGCCATTCTCAGGGGTGAGCCAGTAGGGTCACACCCTCATACGCTCACCATACTCCTCTCGGGACATCCACTCAGACTGGTAGGTAGAAAGGTGAGCCACCACGGACGCTCCTAGCCAGACACTGAAGTTTCTATTGGAACCCGCCCAGACCGTGGCTCTGATGGAGGAGAAATGATCCCACATCAGCTCCCTGAAGAGGCGTGTTGCAAACCCGGGATAAAGGGTGTTGCCCCCGCAGGCCATCACGTGGGAGGCCAGCAGGGGGCGCAGGGAGATCTCACAGGACTCTACGGATTCCAGGATGGCCTGTGGGATGCTGGGCCCCGGCTGCTCGAACATCTGCGGACTGAAGAACATCTCAGGAGCCACCTGCTGCATGGGTGTCAGCTCCACGCGGGAGCCGTCTGGGAGCTGATAGGTGTTGCTCTCATTCAAGCCACTCTGCTGGCTCTCACGAAAGTCCAGGGCCTCTCCCAGATTCTGCGGCACGTAGCACTTGCTCATCTGAGTCACGGCGACCGTCTCCAGCTGAAACACGCTGCGTCTATCGCAATCTTCCTTAAAGAGGCTTTTCAGGAGGTAGGCAGAGAGATCCTGGCCGGCGAACTCCAGCGTCTTGCCGCTGTAGGGCAAGGGGCGGCCCTGGTGGAAAGGCTGCACGCGGGTCAGGCCGTAGCCAGAATCGACCACCACACCGGTCAGGAGGCCAGAGGCATACAGGGACATCTGTACCTGGTCGGCCAGGAGGACGGATGGGACGTGCAGCAACTCAAACAGGATCTGCAACGAGGGTGAACAACCTCAGTGCTATTTTCCGCAGCCTGCTTAGCCATCAAAGCTGAAGTCAGCACAGACCCATGTCCTCAGGGGAGCCTCGGGCTGCCCCAGGATGCTGTGCCCAGAGCTGTTGGTGCTCATGCAGTGAGGATAAAGCAGCAGCTCTGGAGGATTAGAAGGGGAGCTGGGTTTGCCCTCAGGAGCTTGTCTGCTCGTGACCGTTCAGAAGACCACTTGGGTGGAGAGGTGAGAAGAGCTCCGTGGCTGCAAGACACGGTTCTGGGATGCCGGCTGCATGAGCGGCATGGCCGCGGGTCACATGGGCAGCCGGAACTCCCACTTTAGAAGAAGGGAGACAGATTAGAAAAGAAACAAGTGCTGGATATCCACCAGTGCCTCCAAAAGGTGGAGGAAGACAGGCAAGAGAGATAAGAAAGACAAGAAAGAAACACAACAGGTGGAAGGAAGAAAAAAGGAAGGAAAGGAAGGGAAGAGAGAAGAGACCGGATGCCCACTGCCTGGCAGGAAGTGCCTCATTTTATCCTTTTTTAAAAATGAAAACCTTACAAATGTCAAGATAAACCTGGCCGGGCGCGGTGGCTCAAGCCTGTAATCCCAGCACTTTGGGAGGCCGAGGCGGGTGGATCACCAGGTCGAGAGATCGAGACCATCCTGGTCAACATGGTGAAACCCCGTCTCCACTAAAAGTGCAAAAAATGAGCTGGGCATGGTGGCGCGTGCCTGTAATCCCAGCTACTCAGGAGGCTGAGGCAGGAGAATTGCCTGAACCCAGGAGGCGGAGGTTGCGGTGAGCCGAGATCGCGCCATTGCACTCCAGCCTGGGTAACAAGAGTGAAACTCCGTCTCAAAAAAAAAAAAAAAAAAAAGATAAACCTGGAATTCTGATATTTAGGGTTTGGTAGAGCCCCTGGGCTGGTTTTCTCCCCCTGCCCCTCACCCCCTGAATCTTTATGAAGCCCCCCTGCTGAACATTCCTCAGCTCTGGCTGCCTCTCCAAGGTTCTAATCCCATAGAAGCAGAAAGATCGTTAACAGTCAACACTTCGGTGGCCCCAGCCACTTACTCACCTCCTCAAGCCCCCACAAGGCCATCCTCTTCCCTCAGTGGGAGGGGCTCCCTCCATTACCGCGCTCAGAAAATTGTTCCCCCCGCCCAGCCATTTCCCAAATAGCAGCCAAGGCCCTCTTTTTCAAACAGAAAATCAGATAGGGCGGCCCCATTTACAACTCTCCATTTAAAACTCCCCAGGAACTTCCTCTTCACTTAGAGCAGTGCCTGGCAAGCATTTTCTGTAAAGGGATAGGCAGTAAGGGTTGCCAAATCCAGCAAATAAAACTACAAGATGCCCAGTTAAATGTGAATGTCAGATCAACAATAACTAATGTTGTGGCATAAGCATGCCCCATGCACTATTTGAGACATACTTAAATACGAAGACATTATTTGTCATTTACCTCAAACTCAAGTCTAGGCATCATGTATTTTATCTAGCAAACCTACACCAATAAATACTTTAGCCTTTAACTTGATATATGGTCTCAAACCATCTCTGCTGCAACAACTTAACTCAGATGCTATAATATGAAAGCACACTGCCAAACTGTAAATATCAGAATTCCTGTTTTGTCTTGATGTCTGGAAAGCCTTGAAAAAATAATAACAATAAGGCTTTGCCTGTTAGGCAATGAGCATATTTTCTTTCTTCTTTTCTCTCTCTTTCTGTGTTACACAGCATATAAACAAATGTATGTGGCTATGTTCCAATAAAACTTTATTTACAAAATAGATGGTGGGCCCGAATTGGTTCATTGGGTTGCCAATCCTTGATTTAAAGTAGAATCCAAGCACTCCCCACAGCCTACCAGGCCTGCAAGGCCCCACCTCTGCCAACCTCGCCATCCTTCCTGATCAGTCTCTTCAAACAGGTTCCCCCTCCCCCTCGGTCCCCCATGATCCCGTTTCATTTTGTGTCTGGAATTCATCGCTACCTGGGATTCGTTGTTAACCCCTTCATGGATGTGCTCTGAGGGCCAGAACTTGGCCTATATCAGCATTTATGGAATTCATGAACAAGTATCCCACATCTGCCGGGTAGCCCCCCTTCCACCGAGCACTTCGGCTATTGTATGCCCATCTGCAGGTGGGGCCCCCACGAGCTCCCTTGCTTAGCGGCATGCCAGGCACTCTGACTAGGCTCTTGGGAAACATTTGTGGGGAAATTTGTTTTTGTTTTTGAGACAGCGCCTTGCCCTGTCTCCCAGGCTGGAGCGCAGTGGTGCGATCTCAGCTCGCTCTATTCTCAACCTGCCGGGTTCAAGCAATCCTACCACCTCAGCCTCCCAGGTAGCTGAGACCACAGGCACATACCACCACACCTAGCTAATTTTTGTATTTTTTTGTAGAGTCGGGGTCTCACTATAGTGCCCAGGCTGGTCCTGAATTCATGGGCTCAAGCAATACACCTGCCTGAGCCTCCTAAAGTGTTGGGATTATAGGCATGAGCCACCACACCCAGTTGGCAATTTATCTTAAAAAGCAGAATTCCGGGTGCCCAATCAAGTCCAGACATAGTATCAACTTGTTTCCCGCTCCGGATGAGAGCAGCCCCCGGAAGGCCTCACCTCCAGCATCTTCTTTCGGTCTGCAGGCTCCCTAAAAGGGGTCTCCGTGATGATCACAGGGGGGATCTCGTGCTCCCGTCTGTGGTTCTCCAACACAAATGACCAGAGGTACTGCACGGCGTCCCAGTTGACGACGCGGCCCCGCTCTATGGGGTAGCTAAAGGTGTCGGGATGGCAGATGTCGATGCCCAGGCTCACACGCCTCTGGGCATAGCTGGGGCCAGGGTTCTCCCTGCACGGTACGTAGTTCACGATGCTTGGGAAGACCATCTGCGGCTCATTCCAGCCAGCTGTGCCAGCCTTCAAAAAGCCAGACCCGTGGTCAATGATGACGGTTCTTGCAGCCATGGTGGAAGTGGAGGTGAGTGGGATCTGTGGATGCAAAGGATGGGGTTAGTTGTGCAGGCAGCCTAGGCCACCGTAAGCAGCTTCCCCGCTCCACCCAACAGTCAAACCTCAGGCTCCCCCTGAAGCTTGTCCGCTGCCCCTTCCAAGCCTTTGCACAAGCCATCCCCTGTGCCTGGAACACTCTCCCTATCCCAAATTCCCAATCATCCTACTAGGCTCCCTTAATGGGCCACGTCCAGGCAGTGGCACCCACCCCTCTGCCCACGAAGCTTCACCCACTGCACTCTGCACACACATCTATCCTGCCAGGTGAGCACTTCTGTCCCATGACCCAACTCTGCAAAGGGTTGGATTACTCTTTGCAGACTCAGCAAGAAGCCTGCCACTTGGCACGTCCTTGTAGACACTGGCTGCCTGATTAGAAGGCACAAGGAACATCAGCCTCAGAGCCACCACCTTCAGCAATCACTATGTCATAGCGAGAGCAGCAGAAGCAGGCATTGTATTAGCGATCATGGTGGCAGCTCAGGGACCATTTCTGGAGAACATAACCTCTATCCAGTAGTATGAGGAACACTTTTCTGCATGTTAGGTTGGACTAGGTAAAACTGCCATTTGTATCCATGAAAACGGTCAGAGATCAGCAATTTCACACGGTTTCGCCTGATACAGGGACTCATTTCATCTTTGCCATGATGTATAAGGTAGGTGATGTCCACTTTACAGATGAAGAAACTGAAGCACAGAGGGGTAAGATAACTTTCCCAGGGGTATGCAACTAACAAAAACAGAGCTAAGAGTCAAACTCAAACCAGACTGCAAAGGCGATGTCCTGAGCATCAGGCATGAGAAGCATCAGGTGTTAAACATGAGCTAAGCATCTAATGCATCATACAAGGGAGACTATCAAGAAGATTCCATGATTGTGGTTGGTTTCCTCATTGGTAAAGTGGGAAGAACACCCCCCCTCCCTCCCCACTGGAAAGGTAGGTATGGTCACCACCTGATGTCCAGACTTACGGTACAGCTACAGTAGCCAAGGTAATGTGGGGGCACTGGTAAAAGGATAGTCAAAGGCGGGCACGGTGGCTCACACCTGTAATCTCAGGACTTTGGGAGGCTGAGGCGGGCAGATCACCTGTGGTCAGGAGTTCAAGACCAGCCTGGCCAACATGATGAAACTCCATCTCTCCTAAAAATATATAAATTAGCTGGGCGTGGCAGTGCACACCTATAATCCCAGCTACTGGGGAGGCTGAGGCATGAGAATTGCTTGGACCTAGGAGGCAGATGTTGCAGTGAGCCAAGATTGCGCCACTGTACTCCAGACTGGGTACTGAGATCAAGACTCCATCTCAAAAAAAAAAAAAAAAAAAGATAGTCGCATAGATCCATAGAACCCTAAGTCCAGAAATAGATCCCCCCACACACAAAAAAAGGTTATTTGATCTTTGACAAGGTAGAAAAAAATAACGAAATGGAGAAAGGACAGTCTTTACAACAAACAGCAAAGAACAATTGCAGGTCTACACACCAGAAGAAGAACCTTAACCCATACCTCACGCCTTATAAAAAAAATTAACATCAAATGAATCATAGGACTAGAGATAAAACCTGAAACTGTAACACTTCTAAAACAACCCTAGGAGAAAATCATGAAGGCAAAGTTTCCTTAGATAGAACATCAAAAGCCTGACCTGTAAAAGAACAAATTGATAAACTGGACTTCATCAAATTTAGGAGCTTTTGCCCTTCCAAGACACTATTCACTATAAAGAGAATGAAAAGACAAGCCACAGACTGCGAGAAAATACTTACAAATCCTATATTTAATAAAGAACTCTCAAAACCCAGTAATAGGAGAAACAAACCGATATTTTGTAATGGGCAAAAGGTGTTAAGCATCATTACTCATTAGGAAAATGCCAGTTAAAACCACAAGATATTCCTACACACCCACCTATTAGCAGGACTGAAATTGAAGACCAGCCTAACCGAGAACTGACAAGGAAGTGGAGAAACCGGAAATCTCATATACTACTGGTGGGAATGGAAATGATGCCAGCACTCTGAAAATGGTGTGGCAGTTTCTTTTCTTTCCTTCTTTGTTTTTTTTTCTTTTTTTCTTGAGACGGAGTTTTGCTCTTGTGCGCAATCTCAGCTCACCACAACCTCCGACTCCGGGGTTCAAGTGATTCTTCTGTCTCAGCCTCCTGAGTAGCTGGGATTACAGGCATATGCTACCATGCCCAGCTAAACTTTTTATTTTTATTTATTTTTTTATTTTTAGTAGAGACAGGATTTCTCCATGTGGGTCAGGCTGGTCTTGAACTCCTGAGCTCAGGTGATCCACATGCCTCGGCCTCCCAAAGTGCTGGGATTACAGGCGTGAGGCACTGTGCCTGGCCGGCAGTTTCTTAAAAAGTTCAACATACACCTACCATATGACCTGCATTGCCGCTCTTAGGTATTTGCTCAAGGGAAATGAAAACATATGTTCACATAAAAACTTTTATGTACCTGCGTATAGTAGCCCGATAGCATTATTCCTAATTGCCAAAAACTAGAAACAACCCAAAAATCCTTCAGCTAGGGAATGGATATACAAATCTCCATTCAGTGGAATACTACCTGGCAATAAAAAGGAATTAGCCACAGATACATACCATGACTATGTGCATAAATCTCAAATGCCCGAGGCTGAGAGAAGCCAGACCCCGAAGCCTACAACATACCATATGACCCCATTCCCGTGACATTCTGGAAAAGGTAAAACTATAAGGACCAAAATCAGATCAGTGGCCGCCAGCAGCCAGAGGTGGTGGTGAGAGGGGATGACCAGAGGGGTCACGGCAGAATTTGGGGGCATGATGGAGCTATGCTGTATCTTGTTTGTGGACACACCTGTGTGCATTTGTCAAATTCCTGTAACTATATTTTTTGCAGAATAAATTTTACTCGAAGTAAAAAACAAAAAAAAAAATTGAGACAGGGTCTCACTCTTGCACAGGCTGGAGGGCAGTGGCATGATCACGTCTCACTTCAGCCTCAACCTCCTGGGCTCAAGCAATCCTCCCACCTCAGCCTCCCGGGTAGCTGGGACTACAGGTACAAGCCACCTACACCCAGCTAATTCTCCTAGGCAACAGCCTAAGCTGGTCTCAAACTCCTGGGCTCAAGCAATCCACCCACTGAGGCCTTTCAAAGTCTGAGATTACAGCTGTAAGCCACCACACCTGACTCTAGTTTAAAAAAAAAAAAAATTAAGGGAAAAATCCAGTGGGTATGGGAATATTCAGTGAAAGATGTATGAACTCATCTTGCAGAATACAAACTGTCAGACAGCAGACTGGGTGCCTAGACTGTACTTGGGTGTTTCCTGTAAGAGAGGCCTCCAGAAAGGCAGCTCAGCCCGAAGGCAGCATTCTGGGGCTGTCACTCCCCCAGCTATCTGCTCAGCTTCCGTTTCTGGACAGCAGTTACATCTGCCCATCACTATCAAGCATGACAGCCGTGGCCTGCCCCTGGCCAGCGGCTCCCTGCTGTCACCAGCTGTGGGGCGGAGAACAGGCTTCTCTGCCTTTAATCAGCACTGGCATAGACCTGGGGAGAGCCAAGAAGGAGCGCTGAGATGGCACTGTGGTGGCCGGGCCTCCTGCCTTGTCTCCTGGCAGGCTGAGTGATGGATTCCTCACACTCAATCATCCAGAGTGACGGAGAACCGGCCGCCTGCGTGACATTCCGGGAAGCGGGCTCCACTGCTGACAACGCCCTCCGCACCGTGAGAGCCGGTAGGGCTGATAAATGCTTCTTGGTCCTGGCATGTGGAGGCATGGGAGACACTAGCAGGGTGGTCTCCCCACTGTGGCTGTCAATCAAGATGCACATGGCAGGGGTCGGGGGTGGGAGAGGACTCCAGGTTGGTGGCTCAAGTGACCTGGCCTGGGAGTGTGAGGGTGGGAGGCAGGGGCCATCCTTCCCCTGGCAGAGGACTGTAAAAGAAAATCTGGATGGCTCCAGGAGCCAGCTTTGATGACAGAGAGAAAATCTATACATGCTAAAGCATTTTTACTGAGTCACCAGTTCTAGAAATCCCCATAAGCATCTAACTAGGTATAAAACCTGTTCTAGGCTAGTGTGATTTCTCACCTTCTGGAGTTTACATTCTACTAAGAAAGAATGCCCATAAGCACCAAATCGAACACAGCATGCCAGGGAGGATCAGTCCAGCAGAGAAAAGGAAAACTTGGTAAGGACAGGGAACTGAAGCAGCACAAAGGCACGATGTTATTTTAAGCAGGGCGGTCATCGAAGGCCTCTCTCTAGGGTGACATCTGAGCAGAAAAGTGAATGAAGTGAGGGAATAAGGCATCTGAATACCTGGAAAAGCATTCCGCACCAAAGGAACAGCAAATGCAAAGGCCCTGAGAAAGACAAGGTCAGATGTGTCCTAGGATCAGCCAGCAGTCCTGAGTAGCGGGGACACGGTGAGTGGAGGGAGGATACTGGAGACCTGGGAAGGACCTCGCAGGTCTCTGTCATGCTTGCAGACGTGGGAGACCACTGGGGCCTTGACCACAGGAATGGCATGATCGGACGTCACTTGTGCAAGCGTCATTTCTGCCAACAGAAAGGATAGACTGCAGAGGGCAAGAGCAGAAGATTACAGGAGGTGAAAGGTGGGGGTGGCCGGCACTAAGGCGGTGGCAAAGGAGCAGGGTGCAAGGTGGCCAGATTCTGGATACACCTAAGTAAGGCTGACAGATTGCAATATGAGACCAGGAGAAGAATGAAGGAAGACCTCACAATTTTTAGCCTGTAAAGCTAGAAGGATAAAGTATCCATTTACTGTGAGGGAAAAGACTGCAATGGGAACAGTTTGCTATTTGGGAGGAAACTGGGAAATTTATTTTGGACATGTTAAGTTGCAGGTGCCTATTAACTGTGGTGTAAGATGTCTGGCCTAGCAGCACCATCGGGAGTTCCGGAACGGATGGAAT